CATAGTCGTTTCTAATGCAATTGTCAATGAAAGTTATGAGATACTTTTTCCCACCACGAGATAGTGTTGACTTCATATCACAAATGTCAGTGTAAATCAACTCTAAGGGATTAGAATTCCTTTCAACAGATTTATAAGAATGCTCAGCATACTTAGATTCCACACAAACTTGACATTTTTATTTATTGCACTCAAAGTTAGACAAAACTTCTAAGTTGATCATTTTTTCTTACAAGGTTTTGTAATTGACATGCCCCAAATGTTCATGTCACAAACATTTTGACTCAAGCAAGTAGGAACAAATAAAAATATTGAGTTTGAAAAGCTCTTTGCGAGGTAGCTTATTCTCACAAATATTTTGTTCCTATTTCTTACAATTTTGTGTGATACAAACATTGTTTAGAGTCATCACCTTCTCAAATGTCCTTTTCGGAAGAACCTTTTCATAACTTTCAATTTGATTGTTCTAGAACTACCCATGAACAAAGTTTCATCGGGTCCAATAAAGGCAATATAGTTCAAATGCTTCTTTTACAAAACATGACAAATGATTATTCACCAATATTCATGTCTATACAAATAGTTATATTTAAAAGATATATCTTTTCATGAAAAGTCGCAACATTTTAAGTGACACTTTTTCATAAAAGAACTCAATCATTTTGAACAAGTATACATATAATTTGGTAGTTTCATATTAGTTATACCATATACTAGTAAAAGAGAAACTCAACAACCACAATATCAAATATACTCCAAGAATTTTGTGGGTTAACATAATACAAAAGTATCATTGAATTTCATATCTTGTGCTTCAAATTAAAATTAGACACTAAGTCTAATTTAACTTTATCATAAGCAAAGAGCCCACACATTTTAAATATGATCTCAAAAATATTTTTCAAATAGTAGAAAATATTTTTTTTCACATATTTTTCTAGACTATCAAAATGTCATTGGCAGCATGAAACCTCTTTTGGAAATATTATTCTACGAAAGAATTATAGTGCTTCAATTCTCTTTGGCAATCTTTACACAATGTCAAAGTTCATTCCATAGAGGCATAAAATCACAAACTCTAAGTCACTGGTCTTTTTCCTCTATCACAAATAGACATACCACTTAGTATTTAGAATACTAATAACAAAGGCAAAAACTTTTGTACAATTTTTTTTTCTATTTAACAGTGAAGTTTATAGAAAACAAAAGGTACATCACTGACTTATTAGATGTAGTTTTCATATTCTTCAAACCAATTGCATAGTCTTATTTATCCAGAGTAGAAAACTACAAAAAAAATTACTCTACAAAAACCAGACACAATCAAATTCACAAGGAGTACAAAACTACAAAAATAAATAAATTCTCCAAACAAAATAAAAGATATTCTTAGATTATCACATAGAAATGCTTTTCTTTTCAAATAGTCTTCCAACTATAACATTTTGACATACTATTTTATCAAACAAAAATGTGCATCTCTCATTCCGCAAACTAAAGAATTTTAAAGACAACACTATTTGCCAAGGAAAATTCATTCCAAAACATATGGTTTGCAGATCTTTTTCCAAAGATACACATGATAAATATCAAAAGAATTAACTTTTAGAAACTATTTTCCTCCTTAGAAAAATAATAAAAAGGTTACCTGGTGTAATCTTTAATCGGAATACCACCAATTTTTCTAGTACATTCTCAATTCGATCTTGCTAAACAAGACACCAAATTCTGAAGAAGTAGTGCATTAATCTTTCACTTCCATGATCTGTTTCCCTCAATCAGTAGAATATAAGAAATACCAACAGTATAATAATTTCCTTAAGATTGTTCTTCATCATGTATTCCTAAGATACTTAGAATAAAACTTTAAAGAACTTGGTAAGAAACAACAAAGTTTAAAGAGTATTTTCAAAACTAGAAAATTAAAACTAGTAGAGAAAATAAAATCAGAAACAGATTAGAAGCAATATACAAAATATTTTTCTCAAAGAAGAAAATTGAGCCCACTGAATGCACAGTGTCCTCTTAAGGAAATTATTCCCCTCAAGTACCCGAGGTTAATGGAATATATCCTCTCAGGATAGAATGATCTTACTCACCGGTGTATCGATACCTAAATTCATGGTGTCAGTGAACCACTCAACGACAGTAAAGTACACTTAGAATACTAGATTTAGTAGTAGTAGAAGAAGTCCAGAAAAATTCGTTTAACTAAAATGAGAGGAAATCCCTCAATTTATAGAAAACAAAGGGTAGTGTGAAAATGTTCTTATTGTGCCTTACCAGAAAAGTCACAAACCTTTGGAAAAGTCACAATCTTTCGGAAAGGTCACAACCTTTCATAAATGTCACAACTTTTCATAAATATCACAACTTTTCATAAAAGCCACAACTTTTCATAAAAGTCGGAACTTTTCATAAAAGTCGAAACTTTTCATAATAGTCGCAACTTTTCATAAAAGTCATAACTCTTCATAAAATTCGCAACTTTTCATAAAAGTCTCAACTCTTCATAAAAGTCGCAACTCTTCATTTTCCATTCTCACCTTTTAAAACCCAACACTTCAAACAAAAAAAAATTCAATATTCAGTGCTCAAACTCAAAACCTATAGTTCAAAATGAAGCAGTCCCACCACAACACCATAATTTAGCATGGTCTTACTTTGTTGCCTTCATATGCTGAACTTGAAACACTTCAAGATGCTCATGTTATCTCATGCCCTTGAAGAGAGTCACAATCTTTCATTTCCTATTCACACCTTTAAAACCCAACAGCTCAAACAACTGCCACAACTTCCACCAAATATGTAGAGTTCGGAACCAAAATGACCATTTCCCCTCTCCAAAATGCATAAAGGGCATAAAATATTTAAAACCAAAATGGACAACTCACTCCTTGTTTATGATTTTTAACACCATTCATGACGTCCAATTTTCATTCTTTCTCGTTGCTCAATTAGCAAGATCCACTTTAAGTGACCATTTAAGGAATTAACTCCGTCAGTCCCTCTTTGAGATCAAAATATGATGTCCATACTTGTGTAGAAGAAAGTAACAGGTCAAATCCCTCTGTCCAAGTGATTGAGTTGAAGCTTTGGGCATAGAGTGGAGCGAGCCCGGGAAAGGAGTAGAGTCCAACAACATTGAACCCCAAAATAGAGTTTCTATTTAAACCCCTACTCAATACGGTGCCTTAAGGAGAATCCGAAACCAATTGCTAGCCGAAGTAGCGCGACAAAGAATAAAGCGGAGCATTCACATAGATTAACTTTGTATGAGTATTATTCTTGTAGATTAACAAGCCAGATAAATTAACTAATAACTAGTCAAATTAATTGAAGAATTCAACAAGCTTTGTTAGACAAAATCATAATCCTACAATATTATCTCTCTTTGACAACCCCTCATGCATTTAAAAAATTAATCATAAAATCACTTCACGCATACTTTTTGACTAAATAAATTAGAATTAGTTTAATTTAATTAATATTTAATCATAAATCTTCATCATACTCACGAATTTACGTATATGAGCAAAATGTCGTAAACCCCCTTAAATTTTTCATATCGCATTCTTAGCTCAACACTTATGTACAATCAAACCTCGTTATTTGTTTGAAAATTTTATAACTACTATAGTGATGTGATATTTTAGAGAAAATAGTCAAAAATCCCCTCAATCTATAGTCGAATTCCCAACTATATACTCATACTTTAGGGTGGTCCTATTACCCCCTTAGACTATTTTAAAATGGAGTTATTTGCTCCCTATGTGCTGAGGTGGCAAGGAATGTGTAGTTCACTCTCTTTGAGAGAGTGAGAGCAAAAACAAATAATAAAATTTTAACTTTATAAGTGTTTCTTTTATTTCATTATTTTTTTTATTTTTTTTAATGTTTCCTTTTATTTTATTTATTTTACTTTTAACGTTCTTTTTCTTCTTTCTCTTTAACAAGAAACACCAACAACCTTTTCTTCTTTCTCTTTAACAAGAAACACCAACAACAACAACATGGGCTGCGGCGGCGGCGGCACCATGTGAACTTCACTCATCCACCACCAATTCTTAGTTTTCATCGGCCTTCCACTATGTGAGAACAAACCCATCAACCATCAATTTCGTTGTGAACCACCATTGCCACTTCCTTTGTAGCTTCAAGATTTTTAAAGTAGGAGATGTAGATTCAAGCATAAACACAAAATTTAAATATTTAGGTATTGCATCTACCTTCCTATTTCAGATCTGATAAGTTTTGACTATCAAATCTACAATAAATATTGAATAGTACAAAAACATTACAATATCTTCATTTTAAAGATTTCTACCCAACTAAACTAAACTAATTGCATCTAAAAATTTAATCCCCAAAATTGACCGACTTTTTGGAGCATTAAATAATTAATGATTTTGAGTGAAATTTCATCAATATCGAGAGAAAAAACAGGAAATGGTGTAGAAATTGAGATTTTGAAGGGTAATTAGGCGATTATTGAAAAAAAGTGGGGATTTTTGAAGGTTGAATCGAGAGAAATTTGGATGAAAATGGATGAAAAATCTCCGGCCGGTGGCTGATGCCATGCCTGGAGATGAAAAAAAAAACAAAATAATTGATTTTTATACATTAAAAATATATATATTACGTGGCGGGCGCGTGTCCAGCACTACTTAATACGAATCTGGGGGTGAATTAATAAGGGGTTATATATTCTACTTTTAAAATGTCCAAGGAGGTAATAGGACCCCCGTAAAGTATGAGTGTGTAGTTGAAAATCTGGCTATAAGTTGGGGGGGCTTTTGACCATTTTCTCGATATTTTATATATATATGAAATAATATTTTATGCTTAGATCTCATTTAGTTGTTATAAATAAAAGTATACATATAGAAGAAAAAAAAGTAGTTTAATTAACCTAATATAACTAATTAGAGAAATGAACAAAAATGTATATATTGTGAGCCATAACTTCCATAATACTATTATCCTCACAAATTCTCTCAACCTTTTCTTCTCTAACTTACGTGATTTTTGAATTCCATGAAAAACGATCTTTCTGATCCATTAACCAAAATGGACACTCTTGGTTACGGGTCGGGTACCGGATCCGACTTCTCTTTTGCTTACAACAACGCCACTTTCTCCGACCGGATTCTGACGATCCAGATTGTTCCGTACGTCAAATCCGAAGGTGAGGGATGCAGCAGTACTGCCGGCGATTGGGACCGGAAACGCAAACGTAGAAGAGAAGAAACCAATAAACAAAATGGTTAGTTAGTTCTTTTAATTTCACTAATTAGGGTTTTTTGAAAAATCTTTTTGTAGAATTTAGGGTTTTTTCTTGGTTTTAATGTGTCTATATTTTGTATGTAGAAGTACAATTTGCATATTTGTCTAATTTTGGTTTTGAGGGTTAATTTTTTTACAAAGGGATGTTTGATATATCTTTTTTGTTGTTGTCTTTATTATGGTTAAAATGATTGTGAAGAATGGGATTTTAAAATAACATGCTTTATGAGGAAAAGATGCAAAATTTAGGATTTGAATTTATTTATTTTTCTGCTCTGTTTTCTTCTTTTTTAAATTTTAATTTTGTACTATCTAGCTATGTTACTCGAACGTTTCAAAAACCCCAATGGGTGTGTGTCGAATTCTCCAAAAAGTAGTGTATTTTTAAAGAATTTGACACGTGTGTGGCATTTCGAGAATTTGCCCATCAGAAAACTTACTCAAGCTAGTTCTGTTTTAACATAATTGCACTTATTAGTTAGTTTCTCCAAGTTCACTTTGTTTTTCGTCATAGTGGATGCTGATCTCATAAACCTTTCAGATGCAGACGTGCTCACGCAATGTGAGGACGATGTTTTGAATTGTACTATGCTGGATACAGAAGATGTCCTTGCTTATGAGAACCAAGATGAGGAAGCTGTTGCAATGGCGGAGGAATCTCCATCCGGCGTTGAGATGACTACAGATCACCCGGGTACCTATGCACTTCCCCACTGTAGACCAAATTATCTTATTTCCATCACTGTACTACTATTTCAAGGATGTCATTTGTTAAGGATTCTAACTGTTTTAACATAAGATCATGATATATGAGAATCTAAGAGATATACTAACATTGCTTTCACTCTTCTAGGCAATATAGGTGACATCTTTGTGTGCATAATCTGAAACCTTAATTTTGTTATGATGTAATGGCATGTGAAACCTAAGTTCCTTTATCATTTTGTGTTTTTTTTTCTCTTTCTCTGTTCTATTTCCTTTTGTAACAAGCTTACGGCATTTTAAAGGTGGTGGTGTTGCTTCTAAGAGCACTGACTCATTCACATACTTGAACTCGGCAGCTGCGCTTCCAGTTAGAACTATACACATCAGTTCTCCTATTTTGGCCGCACAGAGTCCATTCTTTTACAAGGTTAGGAGTCTTTAATGCTCTGTTCTTGATGAGTCAGAAAGTCTTGATGACGTCTTCTTGTTTTCTTCATAGCTATTCTCCAATGGCATGAAAGAGTCAGAGCAGCAGCATGTTACTGTACAAATCCATGCCTCGGGTTAGTATTAAGATTTTGTAGTTGTAGTTTGGCATGTTCTCATTTCATTGTAATGTCCTTTTCTTTAGAAAGTTGTCCTCGTAGAGTAGTAATATTAACCTGATGATGTCCATATCAGAATTCGGGTACAATTGTATTGTCTGAGCTTCATCTGTGTCTATTATCTATCTCATATTTCAATTGGTAAGGCTAGAAAGCAAGCTATTGAAATTGCTTGTAGGTAGTACTATATTATGTTCTATGTTACTTACACTATATCGTGTTCTATGTTACTTACCACCCCCACCCTCACCCTCACCCTCCAAAAAAGGGGAGGTGGAATGAAAAGCATGTCTTGCTATACTCCTATTTACACAGACTAGCCACCTCTTGTGCACTTGATTTGACATTTCAATAACAAGTTTTAGATGTTTAGGATGTGCAATTAGAGAGCAATGTGTATCAATCACTAAATGAAAATTCAGTTTTTTTCGGCTGTTTGAATTCATAGAATTGAAGGGATTCTTGTACTTCCACCTTTTAATTTATCAGATGGTGTTTGATTGACTTGTTTAAGAAAGAAGTATGTTTGACACAAGTTAAATTCATAACGCCCTTAAGTACCCTTTGTATCTACTAGTCTTGAAAGCCATGCCAATTCTTATTGGACATATCATTGAGGGCTAAGTAAAAAAACAAGGGAGCCCGTTGCACTAAGCTCCCGCTATGCGCGGGGTACGATAAAGAACGACAAGGGTCTATTGTACGCAGTCTTACCCTACATTTTTGCAAGAGGTTGTTTCCATAGCTTGAACTCATGACCTCCTGGTCACATGGCTAAGTAGAAAGGTTAAGAAGTAAAAAGTCTTCAAATATAGAAAGGCATCATTCTAAATATCCATTACTTTATCTATCTTGATGATTAATAAAAGGATTGGACACCAGAACAAGAATCGTGTCTCTCAGAAACATTTGTGTGAGACAATGATTGTCTATTCATATGTTTGCAAGGTTAATAACATGTTCCAAGTGGCCCAGTGGTTTGGGCTTGAGACTTCCATGTTGGAGGTCTCAAGCTCGGAACCCCTTGCCAACGAAAGCAAGGGGTTTGCCTTCTGGGTCGAGCTCGTCGCATCGGGCTTGCCTAGTGCGGGTTATCTCTCCTATGTGGTTTGCGAGCTATTGCATAGGAGCGGGGGTTTTACCCTGTGCGCACGCGGCTGCGGATTTCCCTTGTCATAAAATATATATATATTTAAAGAAGAATTCTTACATAGTTATTAACTAGTGAACATAGTTTCCTTTAATTTATGATCACAATTTTTTTCTTTTCACATCCACCTTTCTTTATCTTTTTTTTTTCGCAGAAGAAGCTGCCTTCATGGACTTGCTAAAATTCATGTATAGCAATACTTTGTCTACGATAACACCTACTGCTTTGCTTGATGTGCTTATGGCTGCTGACAAATTTGAGGTTGCATCATGCATGAGACACTGCAGCCGCTTACTGCTCAATCTTCCCATGACATGTGAATCAGCTTTGCTATATTTGGATCTTCCTTCTAGTGTTTCTATTGCTGATGCAGTTCGGCCACTGATAGATGCTGCAAAACAGTTTCTTGCTGCACATTTCAAGGATATCACCAAGTGAGAACACTTCCAAAAAAATAAATTATTACTTACTCTGGTTGATTGAAATTGAAGCTTAATACTGTTTCTTAGAAATGAAATGTGAAGAAAAGCTAGAGTTTTGTTGTCCTCACGAGCTAACTCCTATTTCAGAATGCGTGTGCTTTTCCCAAATGCCTACTTCTGAGGCTTTATAAACTAGCTATTAACGTTTTCCTGTTTGTTTGATTACTGACTAGTGAGATAAAGGACCTCCAATCTTGCCTCAAAAGAGGCTTCTAGTGTCAGATATCAGAATGCTTTCAATTTAAACCTAGATATCAAAACATGTTCGCTCCTTAGAAACGTTTTTTTGATGGTTTAGGCAAAGATATGTCATCTGAACCGTTTCCTAAATTCCTTGCCAGGTTCCAAGAAGAGGTATTGAACTTACCTCTTGCGGGAATTGAGGCTGTTCTCTCCAATGACGATCTTCAGGTTGCTTCAGAGGATGCTGTCTGTGACTTTGTTTTAAAGTGGGCTCGTACCCATTACCCAAACTTGGAAGAAAGACGTGAAATATTGGGGTCACGTCTTTGTCGCCTCATTCGTTTTCCATACATGACATGCAGGAAGCTGAGGAAAGTTCTAACTTGTAATGATTTTGATCCTGAACTAGCTTCCAAGGATGTACTGGAGGCTTTATTTTTCAAAGCTGAAGCACCGCACCGGCAGCGTTCGCTTGCTGCTGAGGAGGGCAATGCATCACGTAGTAGTTTTGTGGAGCGTGCTTACAAGTATAGACCAATTAAAGTTGTCGAGTTTGAACTTCCTCGTCAGCAGTGTATCGTTTACCTAGATTTAAAACGGGAAGAGTGTAATAATCTCTTTCCTGCTGGTAGAGTTTACTCACAGGCTTTCCATTTGGGTGGACAGGGTTTTTTCCTATCTGCTCATTGTAACATGGATCAACAGAATGCATTCCATTGCTTTGGGTTGTTCTTAGGCATGCAAGAGAAGGGGTCAGTGTCATTTGCAGTGGATTATGAGTTTGCAGTTTGGACAAAGCTAACCGAGGGCTATGTGAGCAAATATAAGGGGAACTACACATTCACCGGTGGCAAGGCTGTTGGCTACAGGAACCTGGCAGGCTTACCTTGGACTTCTTTTATGGCTGAGGATAGTGTATACTTCATCAATGGTATTCTCCATCTTCGAGCTGTGCTTACTATCCTCCGGGTATGAGCTTTTACATACTAACAGAAAGACTTTGCTTACAGCCATACTGGACTTTTTAGATGTCAAGAGGGCTTTAAGATGAAGAGGTTATCCAGCCAAAGGTCTGTTAAAAGGGTTTCAATTGTATATTCTCGTTAATTGAAGAAGTTCAGTGCCTATGTAGAAATTGTTGTATGGGCCCTGCTGCTGTATGTTACTGAAACTAACAGACTCAGTAGCTTCATCTGCTTGACATTGTACTGCCTTTTTGACTTGTTAATTTCTTCGAGTAAATAGTAGTTAAAGGAACCATGGTTGTCGTTTGATTGGTGTATGGGATAGACAAGGATATTTCACCGAATCCCACCATTTTAATAATACTAAATAGTTCATGGGATTAGGTAATACCAATAACTAAACGTGAAATAAAATAACTCGCATTTTATTTTGAAATTGTTACCCCTTCTCTTACCAACCTAACGCAAGGTTTATTAGCTAATAATGGTTAATTCCAAATTACTGCCAAACTTTAGGTTTTAGATGAACTGAAAAAGTGCTCTGCTTTGGATCATTTGACTAAGAAGGTGTTTCGATTGGCTTAAAAGTTGGTTAAATATATTTTTAAGTCAGTTTTTGATTTCTGGAAATGCTTAACAAATATAATAAATAACTTAAGGATAAATCAAAAATGACTTAAAATAAGTTAGCAAGTGTTCGGCAAGGTAAAAAATGACTTAAAATAAGTCAAAAATCAAAAGTAGGTCTCTCCTTATTTTTTATTTTATATTTTTTAACTTAAAAGTCATTTAATTTTTTAAGCCAATCTAAACAGGCCTATTTTAATTTAATAATACATTGTTAACCCTTCATGTTTTATATCACGATGAATGTTACAAGGTTGACTAACAGCAATTAAACAAACGGCTTATATTCATTTAGAATAATGTTTTCAATCCCTTCTGAAAGATTGCATCAAGAATGCAAAAGATCAAATAAATAGAGGTGAAACAGAAATGACGATGCCTCTATCTCAAGTTAAGTAGGGTCGACTATATGAATCATCATTCTTTCTTTTCTTATGATAGTAGCGTCCAGGTCAGCTTTCACGCACAAGTATTAGGATAAATGAAAAGAATCACCTTGTATTATTTTTTTCTCCGCTGAGTTTTAAACCTGAGACCTCAGGATTCTCAACTACTTCATTAACCACTAGGCCACACCCTTGGGTGCATGAATCATCTATCATTCATTCCAGCATTTAATTATTTAGGTTCTACAACCTTTCTTTTTATGATGTACAAACAAATCAAAGACTTGTAACAGACCTTGGAGCTGGACCAAATGTAAGCTTAACAACACGACCAAGGCAAAAAAAGAGAGTTGCACGAAGTTAGCCAGAAGCAACAAGCCATAGACACCCACAAGACTCATAGGTCATGAAAAATGAAACATGGACATGACAAAAAAACGATGAAGCTCTTTCTCAGCAAGCATAGACATGGTCACGAAAAATAATCTAACAGTCATGATGCAGAAGAAAAACAGGAATTAAGGAGCAAAACATTAGGATAGTAACCAGCATGAAATATTAAGCTCTGTTAACCACCAATCCTAAACCAGTGTTCTTCAAATCAGTAGTGCTCTCTACAACTGGAGTCACAAGCAAGATGCTCCCAGAAGGAGTCGATAAGAATCTTATTAACTACACTGCATGTCATTTATGTTGAATTGAAGTTTCAAAATGTACAAAGGAGAATTGGACTTGAAGATCGAGATGATACACAGACGTGCAAAGAGGAGGGAACAATAGTCTAGACAGAGAGTAGCTAAGGATCAAACTGAAGTTCTTTCAGAAAAGCAGACAGAATATCTGATTTTTTACAACAAACAAATTCCTGATAAAAAGTTTCGTGATTTTCATCATCGAGCACAAAAGGGGACACGGAAAGTCTATATCAGAGACTTCTGTAAGGAAAACTTGAGCATCCAAGTAAGAGAAGGCTCTTATTTTAAACATCACATTCATTAGTGTTCCCACAATGAGTGTTATGTGAAGAACTTTCATGCCAATCACATAAACACATGAAGCTTAGAAATGTACCATCATTTACTACATAGTTGATTAACGTACGGAAAATACATAACTGCACAACCACTTCAGCAGAAAAGAAAATAAAGCACAAATAATTTTGATTTTAATATCAATTTCTTGTGGTGAAAGACTGTTTCAATTTATGAGAAATACTTGAAAACCATCTCAAAAAGAAAATAGGAATTACTAACACATCATTATTACTCAAAAAACACCAGAGAATTTTAAGGATTTCAATTGGTTAAGCCCCCAGTTCGACAAAATAAAAAATTATAGTTATTGAAAGCAATCAAAAGAATCTTAAAACATTTATAAACTAACTGCATAGCAACAGTTGTCTCTGAAAATATCAAATAATAACCTTAAATATCGGAACAAATTTTTTACTTAAATAGTATAAAAACCTTGCAGATATATACAGCTTCGAGTTTGGGGTCAGACATGATATGGCATCGGACAGGCAGGGATCATGTTATTTGCACAAATTTTTTAAGAAGATGAAATCGTTAGTGTCAATTCAAACTACAGAAATCAAAGAAAATAAAAGCAAGAAACTCTGCAAGTGGCAGTTCGGAAACACTGTTGAGAAATGGTAAACTAAAACAGCACACAAGCAAACATAAGTAGAAACAGAAACATAGAAAAGAGGCGAGGGAAGAAGAGACTCCTGAAGGAAACAACAAAATTTGAAGATACAAACCTAGAAGGCATATAAGATTTCTAAAATTCAGAAGGTTTTATACGAAATGTGTCTTTCGTGATAATTAAGGCACTCATGAAAAAGTAACCTAGGACTGCCTTTTCTCATCTTTCATCCACTTCATCAGTCCAATGACCAGGCCGTTGCCTTTCGCTGCCACTTCTAAGATCCATCCTAATCATCCATATAGCATCAACCAGGATAAGAGCCACAACATGCTTCCCATATTTCCCCTAATCACATACTCATTATTGTTTGCCCTTTAAGTTTAGGCATTGTCTCAGACATATTTTTAATGAAGCATTGCAAGCACAATCTATCCTTCGCCTCAAGGCTCATTCACCATCACAACCATAGCTCTCTTTCACAGTAAAGTATTTTTCTCTACTAACAACATATAATACTCTCGGAGCAGAGCACCGAAGACAAACACAAACTACTTGCTATAACATGATATCTTCAAATATAAGAAATATTAGTTTGGAGAGTGAGGAGCTGTAATAATCCATATATAAATAAAAGTGCAGGTAATTTGTATGCATCAAAATGTAAAATAGAAAAGCAACTTCTGTTACTTCAATGAAAGAAGTCATTTTTAATAGCCAAGGCCCTATAATGTTCAAAGGCATACAACATTATTAACTGCAAAACTAAACGAAAAAAGCTTACCAATCTTTCTTATGCCTAGCAAATAAAAACTCTCAACATTGGAATTTTAAATGCCTGAATTGCACACTTTTAAAATCAAACAGTTGACAAAGCGCAACTAATACCAGAGATTTTGATCATAATCCGCAATAGCTGCAGCAGCATTACACTCGGGCTTTCCTAGCAAGTTTTGCCCACTCGGTATGGTATGCTCCTGACTTGTCAACTCTCTCATAAGTATGTGCCCCGAAATAGTCCCTCTGAGCCTGCACAAGGTTCGCGGGAAGCCTAGAACGCCTGTAGGTGTCAAAATACTGAAGACTAGCAGACATTCCAGGAACACTAATTCCCTTCTGAACAGCAAGTCCCACCACTCTCCTCCAAGCTGCTTGCCTCTGCACCATCTCCCTTGCAAACTCCGGGTCAACCATCAAGTTAGCCAAATTAGGATTCCTCTGATACGCCTTCTTAATACGATCCAAAAACACTGCCCTGATAATACAACCACCTTTCCAAATCCTTGCCATCTCTCCCAAATTCAAATTCCACCCTTTCTCAGAGCTCTTTGCCCTTAGCAAATTCATCCCCTGAGCATAACTACAGATTTTCGACGCATACAATGCCTGCCTCACATCATCAATCAATCTCTTCTTATCAAGACTGCTACCATTAATATCAGAACTTATTTCCTCCTTTAACCCTTCCTTCCTGAAAATCTCTGAGGCTTCTACCCTCTCATCCTTCAATCCACTCATGTACCTACTGTCTAACGAAGCAGCAATCGTCGGAGCTGCAATAGACAGCTCCGCCGCCTGCTGCACAGTCCATTTCCCCGTTCCCTTCATTCCTGTCTTATCCAAAATCTTATCCACTAACTCCCCATTTCCAGTTAATTCATCCTTCACATTGAATATATCCGCTGTAATTTCAACCAAAAAACTCTCCAATTCCCCACGGTTCCATTCAGCAAAAATATCAGCCAATTCAGAATTACTCAACCCACCTGCATTCTTCAACACATCATAAGCTTCCGAAATCAACTGCATATCACCATATTCAATTCCATTATGCACCATTTTCACAAAATTCCCCGACCCACCTTCACCAATATAAGTAACACAAGGCCCATCCTCAACTTGAGCTGCAACCTTCTCAAGAATATCTCTAATATTCGTATAAGCCCCATAAGACCCACCAGGCATAAGCGAAGGCCCATTCCTCGCCCCTTCTTCACCACCAGAAACACCCATACCCAAATACAAAAGCCCCTTCGACGACGCCTCATCAATCCTCCTTTCAGTATTCTCATACCACTCATTACCCCCATCAATAATCGTATCCCCAGGCTCCATATACTCAGAAAGCGCAGTAATCGTTTGATCAACAGGTGACCCAGCTTTAACAAGAATGATAACAGATCTGGGTCGTTGAATTGACAGCACAAAATCACGAGGATTGTACTGTCCAATCAACGGAAGTTGTCCTTCATTCTGAGCACGATCTAGGGTTTCATCTACTTTCGAAGTGGTTCTATTGTAAACAGATATAGGAAACCCTTTTTCAGCTATGTTTAAGGCTAAATTCTGACCCATAACAGCAAGACCAGCTAACCCAATACGAGATAAAGCTTGAGCAGTTGCTGCGCCTTCCATGGTGAATGAAGAAACAGTGATTTTTAGGAGAAAAAGGAAGAGATTCTTGACAATGGAGTGAAGAAGATGAATATATAGTGAAAAAGGAGAAGTGTTTGGTGGGTTTTTTAGGTAAATAGGAGAGTGACGGACTCGTCGAGGGAGTGAAAGGGTAGTGGCCAAAACAACCAACGAGAGGTTGGCGACTGGCGTACTAGTCGATGTTGTCTAATCTCTT